AACCCCTAACCTATCGAGGATTGACGGAGGGGCGTAAGTGATGCTGCCTACCACAACCTATCGAGGATGGGGGTACACGTACGTACAAAGTGCGGGGTGCGACGGGTCTCGACAGGTCAGCCTGGACCCGCCCCTGACACGGGTCTCAGCATGCCTACCTGGACCCGCCCCTGAGACGGGTGTCAACACGTTCGCCTGGATCCGCCCCTGAGACGGGTGTCCACACGTCAACCTGGTCCCGCCCCTGCCGGGAGGTGGGAGGGGTGGACTCTCACCAGGTCTGAACACGTTCGCCTGGACCCGCCCCTGTGGGGAGGTGGGCGTCCGGCCGGCCGATCGCCAACATGCATGCTTAAGTGTATGGAGCTTTCAAATTTTCGCGCTGCGCTCCGCGCGCCCTCTAGCGTCCAGGTGGCGCGGGCCGGAGGCGGCAGTAACCGTGGTTACCGGGGGTGGAGGGGGCGGCGACGCCGCCGCCGCCAGCCCGCCCCGCGCCTGAGGGTCAGTTTGCCTCCTGCCTGTTGCGCAACACGCCGCTGAGTGCACGCAGCAGACCTTCGAGATGGATCTGATCAAGGAGTACGGAGGGGACTCCTCCGTTGAGGATGAATTACTCGTGCGCGACCTCTCCTTAGAGGAGGACATCAATCTGGTAAGTACAGTGATATCCTTGTGTTTACCGCCATGCAGTTCCTCGAGTCCGATCATTTTCGCCACCGTGAAGCTACCGAAGTTCGTTATTTTTTCGCGCGCCGAATCTGCTGGTGAGTCTGTGTTATACATACTAGCACTTTGGTGTTTTGTGTGCGCTGTTTCTTAAGCTTGCACTTTTTTCTAGAATCACGAGTGCTTATGTATCGCAGTCCGTTCTTTTCTTGTGTGCACCTAACCTAGCAGCTTGTGCTCACGTTTCTCGCGCTCGTGCGCTGTAAATACTTCTCTATGCTATGTTTCCTCATGATTTGTGTCTTTTTAATGTACGAATTGTGTATGAGCGAGTGTGCTTTTCTTGTGGTGCGTGTGCCTTAAGGGGGCAGACCTGTGAAATGCAAGGGTTTGGGAGATATTTTATTTTTAAAAAACTACGAATCGCAGCTATATAAACGAAAGACCCTTTTCATAAGAATGAATTGGGCTACAGTTTGGCGTATGCACATATAGTGCCCACCTCCGGGAACCCGGTCTTCTTGGCCTCGAAGTGGACGGTTGCACCTCGACGTGGCGTGCACGATTTGGACCGAACAGATGGACCTGCGACAGCGACAAAAAATGTTATTTACTCTTAGAAGATGCGGCTATCGCATGACGAGAGCGATTTTGAAA